TCCTCTCGGGATCTTGGGCACGCACGCACACGTGCCCGGCGTGAGTTTTAAGCCACCGGGTCCGGGACACGAACCGCGGTCGACTACGTGGGAATCCAGCGACATAGCCATTACGCTAACTGCTGGTTCCTGAAGTAGCTGCAGTTTTATAAGTGGCAGGGGTAGGTGTGGGGCCCAGCGCCCCGCAGTGCCAGGTTGCAAAGCTGCCAGGCGACGTCATCCCTGGTGCCCTAGAGGCACCACAGAGTGGGGTCAGAGACAGTTTACCCTTGTGTTCAGGACTCCGGCTCTCCAGGAGGAGCGCGGGATGGGGGATTTCAGTTGGCCTTTTCTGTGTTTAAGCACGCGTGGGCACTTCCTGCTACCCAGCCTTCTGAGCTGCAGAGAGCAGACAAGCCTCCCCCACCCTGCCCGCCTCACATGCTGCAAGTGCTTGGAAGTGTCACCTCTGGGCCTGGAGGAAAGAGGCGAGGGGACCTTGTGGCCATGCACCTGGGAGGGCTTAGCTTACACCGCCCCCCGGTCAGCTCCAGAAAGTTCCTTCTTTCCACTGGAATCAGAATCAGTCCCCGTTTGCAGTTCCTGAAAATGAAAGAGCCCTGTCTCTTACAGCCGCGGGCAGAGGTGGGGCAGGCCCGAGGTTGCTGAGCTCACAATGACCGGACCACCCCGCACAGGCTCCCTGCTCCTTGCTCTTCCTCCTGGAGCCGGCACAGGAGGCGGGTGCTGGGGCAGGGCACGGGGCTTGTTCAGGAGGCTGGGGGCCTGCTATGTCCAAAGACCACTGTCCAGTCTGGCTGTCCACAAGGGTGTTAGAGGGGAGCGAGGGGAAGGGGCACAGTCCGTGTGGCCAAGCCCCCAGTCACCATCTCTGCAGATCCCAGACAGTTGTCTCCCTCGTGCGGGCGGCTGGGCCTGGCCTCAGGGAGCTGCCTGCACCCTCCTCCAACACGTCTGTCCTGCGTTGCTGCCCCGTGGCCTGGGCACCGCAGGGCCTCCAGAGAGCCTTTTTTTCTCTTTTCTTTTTGGAGCGGTTTTTGCTATAGGGCACGTGCACTCGCCAGAATGACGGAGAGAGACAGAGAGACAGAGAGACAGAGAGCGAGAAGTCACGCGTGGGGGGCCACGCCGCAATCCCTTCTCCTCCATTCTCCTCTCTGGATCCTGGGCACGCACGCACACGCGCAGGGCTCGAACCACGTCGACACAGCCATTACGCCATCTGCTGGTCCCGGGAGAGCCCTGACTGGCTCTCGCAGGCTCCCAGGTCTGAGGAGCTGCTTTGCTCCCTCTCGTGGCCGGGCCTACATTTCAGGCACTGCAGGGGGGGACACAGGCGAGGTGAAGGCCAGGTCGGACACTGTCCCAGCCCCGTCCCTGCTCCCAGGGCCTACCCCAGACACGGCCTCCCCTCCAGAAACCCCTCACCCCGCCCTCGCAGCCCTCTTCTGATCAGGCCTGGGATGAGCACGGGCCTTGGGGCCTTGGGGCGGCAGAGACCCTGGTGCCACCGGGTCTCCAGTTTCCCGCAGGACATCCAGTGGCTTTGGACCTCTGATAGGACAGGGTCTGGGGGCTCCTGTGACCCTGGCTGTGTCAGGCTCAGCAGACAGTGATCGGGGCTTCTAGGAAGACACTGACTAGGCCCTGCACTAAAGTGGGGGGGCTGGAGCGAGGGTCAGGCCGGGAAGGCAGGGCGTCCAGGGCGGTTACGGGCCCCTCCCTCCTGCCTAGCTCTCCTCTCCTTCAGGGCCCAGCTGTGACGGCGCCAGGCCACCCGCTATGGCTGGGAAGATCAACCCGTCCCGCCTAGCCTGGCCTCGCTGAGAGGCGCTCTTCATCCCTGTGTGAAAAAGCCTCTCCACGTTCACAACCAGGCTGCGACAGCAGACACTTGGACGGGCCTGTTAGGGTCCCCAGGAGCCTGAGCTGTCCGCTGTGGGTGAGGCGGGGACTGTGGGGTGCCCATTCCTCTCCCCTCCACCCCTTCCTTGCACTTCCCATCTGCCCACCTGGGGACACCAGCTTCTCTGGGGTGACACCCCTCCTCCTCCCCCAAGCTGCTGGTGTTGGCACCCCTCACCTGGGGTGAGCCCTGGGCGCTCGAGGCAAGGACTGGGAAGAGAGCCACGACGGTGCCAGCAGAGAGCATGTGGCCAGGACCGAGCTGAGGGCCAGCCCGGTGGAGACGGGCACTGCAGGGCAGGGACTCCCACCTGGTCCTGGAACCACCCAGTCTTCACCTGGGCTCCCCAGACCATGAGCTCAGGCTCCAGACCCGAGCAGTCCTGGCAGGGAGGGGCAGAACCCAGGGGAGGGGGTCAGCTCTGAGGCAGAGGAGAGGGCGGCATGGGTCCCTGTGGGCCCTGGGAGGAGAGGGGTGGCCTAGGAAGCGGCAGGACAGTGGGTGTGGCTGGGACCTCAGAACTCCCCGAGTGCCCTGTCGCCTGGGTCACAGCAGACGAGATTCCAATTCAAAAGGAAACACCCTGCACCCTGGAGGCCTGACCCAGGGGCTGAGGGGCTGAAGCGGGATCCAGGGGCGGCCAGCCCAGCTCCTCAGGAGCCCAGGGGAGTCACAGCCTGTCCTCTCTGTGGCTCTCAGGTCCTGGGAGCCACCCTGCTCTCTGCAGGGCCGCGTAAGCAACACCTCGGGTCCTTTCTAGCCACAGAGCCCAAAGGATGCCTGGTCAGCCTGCCTCCCGAGCCCGCCAGGTTCAGGTTAGACCCAGCGCTGGGCACGGGCTACACCTGCCAGCATGGACTGACCTGGCAGCTCCTGTCCAGTCTGAGCAGGACATCTGCTGGCTGAGGCTACCCTTGGCACCGGGTCCCGGACTCCAGAGCTGGCTGAGGCACCGTCGTGGCTCTCTTCCCAGTCCCTGCCTCGAGCGCCCAGGGCTCACACAGGTCCTCTAGACAGTGTGACCACCCTGCCCTGGCAGGGATGTCTGTGCTCCGGCCTGCTGCCTTGTTCTGAGAGGTGCTACCTGCCCCGTGGGGTGGAGTAGGGGCCCCATGACACACCCCCACTACACAGAGCATGTGGTCCCTCTGGCAAGCGGCCGTCCCCTGGACACTCCCCTCCTCTGGGCCCCTGGTAAACAGGACTGTGATCAGTCTCCTCTGACAGCTGTCCTCAGGGAGGTGCCCTGAGGCTGGACAGAGCTGGGGTTCTCCCCATGGAGCCCAAGGGCAGGACCGAGTGCTCGGGCGCGTGGAGCCGTTGGGCAGCCGGAGAGGGCCTGGCCGGGGAGCAGCATAGGCTGTGCCCTCCATGGGGCTCTGCCCAGGGCCAGGACGACATCGATGGGCAGATCCTGGGTCAGCTGCACCCCCCTGCTGAGGGGGAAGGGGAGGCCGGGCCCGCCTTCCCCGGGATGGGCTCCGAGGAGCTGCGGCTGGCTTCCTTCTACAGTTGGCCCCCGACCACGGGGGTGCGGCCTGAGCTGCTCGCTGCCGCTGGCTTCTTCCACACGGGTGAGTCCTGGGCCTCCCAGTCCCGGTCCTGGCATGGAGGTCTGGGCTGCCCGGAGATTAGGTGGTCCTGCAGACACCCTCCACCTGCTAGAGGTAACGCTGACGTCCATGGGCCCTTCCCACACAGGGATAACAGGGGCTTAGGAGATGCTCGCTGGGGGCCACAGCCCTGAGTGCTCGCTGGGGGAGGGTCCCTGGGCTGATCCCCAGTCGGCTCGTGGTGCCGGTCAACTCTGGGCACAGCCCCCAGAACCCCTGTTCTAGTTGAGGCAAGGGGCCGCATGGTGGAGCTCAATCCCACCCCCACCCCTGCCCCTCCCTGGCGGAAGTGGGGCAGGGCCCCCAGGGAGTGCTGGCACAGCTGCAGTCGCTGTCCCCAGTGAGCGGGGGACCTGTCCTCCCCTACCAGGCACTGTCCAGGTAATAGGCCAGACTAGCAGGGTGCTGGACCCTGGGCGGGGCTGTAGTGGGGACTGCTCACCAGCCTCCCCAGAGGGCGAAGGTCAGGGAGGACGCCCAGGAGGTGTGACATCCAGGGACAGCCCCCCCCCCCAGAACTG